ATGAATTTTTATCAAAAGTTAAAGTATATATGTTCACAGATGATGAAGATGCTGAAAACCAGCAGTTCCTCTTATCCCTATTAGGCCACAAGGTAATATCTTGGTCAAAAAAATTTCCTGGATCTTTCTAGTTCTGTCAGAAAGCCTACCTAAAATATCCCAACCTCGTGCTCTTTCTCTTGTCCAAAGTCTGCAAGTATTTCTTGCTGAAATAGATTGAGCTGGAAGGCAAGAAGGGCTTCAGCTCATTGGGCTCACAGGACAGACATCCCAGCACGTCTGGCTGTGTGAGCAGCTGCAGAAGAATACGCCTAAAACACAGTAAGTTTAAGTTGTTTTGTTTGCTGGGCCCAGAGGAGGAGTGAAAAAAATATTATTGTGTCTAATACATGATTTACAGACAACAGAATTGTAACAGATCCAAGCTACTCAAACTATCAAAGCGATTGCACCCAGGCACATCTTCAATAAAGAAATATTAAAAACCAGAGGAAAAGCGATCCTTTTTGTGTTTCTCAATTAACTCGGTATTTGAATATTGGCCTTTATTTCATTCTGTTTCCATTATTTCTGAGTGTTAAAAAGGTCTTTGTTGGCATTGGGACTGTGATATATGAACCTCGGCTGCTCTTCACATTTGGTATCATGTATATACCATTCTAACTAATAGGACAAACATGAAAATCAATGTGTCTTCACTAAGAACTAAGACTATCTAAATTGACCTATGACATGCAGCAAAATAAACATTTCTCATCATTTTCTAAAATGCATTCTATGTTTTTCAGCTCCACAGTAGTTTGCACATTGAAAATATCTAATATTTAGCTATTATATTTGTGGGGAATGGTAGAATAAATGAACTATGTCTTCCTTAGGACATTTTAATATCAGAGATAAATTTATGTTTTCCAGCAATACAGCTATCAGGGACTTAATTTTGGTTGTTTCACATGCTTTAAAAAATTCAGACCTCTGGAATCTCACATTTCATAGTCAAAACTGATGAGCCATCACACAAAGACAGCAGTCACTTTCAAAGTTATAGGCTGCTAGCTATAAATTGCCAAATTATATTATAAATTATGAATTCTTTTCTATTCATGCAACAGGACAGAGGCCCTTCTAGCATAATAATCTAATAACAATTGATACAATTGCTTTCTGTATATTTGTCCTTCCAAGGTTAAAATTAGTCCTTGTCTGCTCACATTCATAAAACTTGCCTTGTCATGAATTTGGGAGTGTCTGTTGGGCTCCTCATTCTCATCAAAACTGAATAATTTTGACAGTTCATATTGCAGAAATTTGAGCCCTCGTAGCTACCTGCTATTGCCAGAGCACTGCTACTCTGATGTGAAGCAGTGCCCTCCACCTCCCAACCTCACTGAAATATTTATTTCTCTGAACATCAAGACAGGCAGACCTGTGGTTTCTTGCTGATGAATAACACATTTGAATCTGTTTGCCAAATAGAGTCCCCAAACTTCATCTGTAGACTCTGCCACGTGACATCTGCTGAATGTTTTTGAAGGCATCACAAAGAAGAAATATTGGGCTCTCAGCTGGTTTCTTTTGGTGTGCAGTTTCTTTGAATTCTAGGTTAAAGATTTTGGCAGCAATTTGCAAGTCTAATCAGTCAACCACACATTAGTTGACCCAGATTCATGAAGGTACATTTGAGCATAACTCCTTCTCCAGGGGAGGTTCAGAACAGATATTGGAAAAAAAAGGTTTTCACTCAGAGAGGGGTCAGACATTGGAATAGTTTGCCCAGGGAGGTGGTGAAGTCACCAGCTCTGGAAGTGTTCAAATGGCATCTGGATGTGGCACTTGGGGATATGGTTTAGGGTGATTATGGTGGCATTGGGTTAATGGTTGGACTCGATCTTGAAGGTCTCTTCCAACCTTGATGACTCTGTGATTCTGTGACTACAGGCTAGAGGTCTACATCCAGAAAACATCCTCCCAGGAACAACTCTGCACTACTTAAAAAGAAAAAACTTCAAAAAAATGTGTTGACAAAAATTAACGGGCCAAATTCAAGAAATATTTCCTTTCATCCACCTCTAAGAGAAAAAATTTCACTAGTTCACAATTTTACAGATACAACAGGTCAGAAGAGGAGTAAAGATGCCCAGAAATCAAATCGTGCTGTACACGCACGGGAAGAAGACAATGTTCCAGGTTCTACATTTCAGCAGAAAAGAACAAATGAAAAACCATTTGCCAACAATTTGTATGCCAAAAATGAGAAGCCATAATTATAGGATTGCAAAGTTCTATGTATGTATTAGAGGGAAGAAGAAAAAGGTAAATCTTCAGCTTGCTTAATATAATAGTTCTTCAATAAATGGACCTATTTAAAGAACATCATTGTTCTGTTTTGCTGAAGAAAAGCAGTGAACTGCTTTCTATAATTACAACCAAAGAAAAATTTTATACCCCATTTCAAAAGCAAAGCTACATGAAGAGCAGTAAAACCCTGAAAGAAATCTTCCCTGTGAGTTCTTTCAAGAGCATAGGCTAAAGATTAGCATTTATCTGAAGATCCTCACTCAGAGAAAAGGGTGCTTTCATCTGAGTATTGCAGGTCAGATTCTTACTAATAAACATGCACCTGACACAGCATGTCCTGTAATCTTCCCTCCACCCCACACTGCAGCCCTCATTTAAAATTTCTGTCTATTCATATAGACTGGAGGGAAATTGAAATCTTTTGCTTCATTCTTAAAAAGCTTCTAATTACATATTTCAGTCCAAATCCTTTCTGCTACATGTACCTCTTCAATAACTGTTGCTCCTCCACACTTCATCTCACATCTCTGCCTCCTCCATTTGAGACAATCCTATCCTGGAACTAAATTAAGAACTTGAAAAATGCAAATGAAGTAGGCAAATGATTTATTGCAGGACCAAGAATTTAAACTAATAGAACAATACAGCACTTTTTGATCAATCTACAATACCCCACAGGCAGTTTTATTTAAATCAAAGTGTTATCTAAAATAAGATGAAAAAAAAGGAATTCAAAAGTATATTCTAGAAATATTTTAAATTGGCTTTGTAGAGACACAAGTGTACTTGCTTTCTGCTGCATTAATACTGATGGGCTGATACGGTATCTGCAGAAGCCAGGCAATTAGAGCACTAAGGGAGAGTGCTCACAGGACTCATTGAACTGTAGCATAGTTAGAAAAACAATATTAAATAGTCTGAGATGAGAGAAGTTTAAATAGTCAAGATACTTATACGCAGAATGATTGTTGATGCTTGTAATCAAGATTTCTAAAGACTTTACTAATCAGATGCTTTAAATCTAAATAATTGAATACATGCTGCCACATTATTAAATTATCTTCCTGAAATAAAGAATTTTTTATTCCATTCAATGAAATCTGCACCCTGCTTTAGCCTAGGGCTTCCCAACAACTCATTCAAAATACAGTAAGCTGAAAAAACCCATCAGAGCCCTTATCAACCACCCCGGAACAGACCTGCATCTGCTCCAACACACAGCAAAGGTTTTGGGGCTTTGAGGGTCATATTCAGTGGGTTTGCAACAATAGAATTCTTCAGAAAGTATTTGGATTCTCTTATATGGGTGCTTCCTTTTCCAAAGCAGCATTACTTACTAGGAAGAAAATTAACATTTCTACTGCAGCTTTAGTCTTTCTCTAACTCCACAGTTATTCTACACACAGGTAGAGGATAGTCCTTGTTTTAAACATGAACAGAGTCCCAAAAGAGTAGACCCCCAGCAGGTACCTCAACCTATTTACTGAAATAAGACTCTTGCCACAGATACACTGCATCAAGAGAAGGAGTTTGCATTGATGCTCAGAGAAAAGAAATGCGAAATATTATGTACTTATTTCTGGGTGCACCACAGCTCTAAATAGATCCAGTTTTGCCCAGGGAAAACAAGTATCCTGACTCCTGCAGTTGTCTAGATTTGGGATCATCTCCCTACCTTGCTGCATCGACCCCCTGTTCTGTGTGAAAAGGATGAATTATAAACCACTGTAAACTCTGTACTGAAGATGGTGTTCAAACTTGTTCACTTGCAAAATACACAGCACCCCTTCAAAATGCATGTGCTAATGTGGAACTGGTGAACACTTGCTCCTTCTTGTTTGTCCCAAACAGAGAATTCACTTTTCAAAAAACCCAACCCCCCCAAAACAAACAAACAAACCCCCCAACCAACCAACCAACCATAAACCACAAAACCCACCATCCAACCAGCCAAACAAAAACAGACACCCACAAAAACCCAAACAAACAAAAGACTCCAAACAAAAACTAACAAACAAAAGGGGAAAAAAAGAAAAAAAAAAATAGAAAAGCACGCCCTGCTTCTTCTGGGAATAAGGCTTTTTTAGCCTGTACTTCTTTCTCAGATGCCTTAATATTGTTCAAAAAGAGCCAGAAATCAAAATATATTTGGTCAGTAACTCTGATAACTTATTAATACTGAAAGATGAAGAAACTAGAAAAAGAGACATTTGACAAATGACAACCTACATTTATATGTACTTTATCCTATTATTAGCACACTTTAGACCTTAAAACAAAAAAAATCCTGAAGAAACCTTAAATCAGGATTGTAAATTTAAACACCTGCAGATGTGAGCTCTGACGTACAAATTCGCTCCCCAGCTCTTCCTTACTCTGCTGATTCATAGGCAGACCCTCTCAGGGAAGGATATAACTAAAATCCTTTTCTCTCATCTCTCCAAAAAATGCAAGTACAGGAAATCGTTACCTGGAGCAGAATTTCAGGGAGTCAGATAACAACCCTGGTATTCATCTCCCTCTTCCCAGAACTTTTTTAAAGGTCCAGTAAGGTAAAAACACTCAGCTGAGGAGCTCTTACATCCCACTCTTTTGGATCCCTACCTACACCACAGGGGAGCTAAATCCTAATAGGACAAGAAAAATTAGATGATAGAATGTCACATAAACTTATTGCCAAAGAGCCAAGTTCATCATCTTACCCTTCTGGTGTGAGCAGAGATTTGCAGGAGGACTGACAGAGGCTGTGGAATCCCTTCATTCCTCAGGTAAGGAATGCCCCATTATTCAGCTTCTTCAAAGAACCCTTGTTTTGAGTCTACAATGAAACACAAATAAACAACTCAAATCAGACAACGTGGTTGAAAGGATTGATAAGAGACACACAGAAGAAAATGAAACAACTCCATGGCAGGGAGGGAAGGGAGCTCTGTCTCTCCTAGTTGGCAACTGCAAGGTAGCAGCGTGGTCTTCATCCCTCAGTGACCCCTGTTTGCCTAAGGAAATGCCCAAGGGAGGAGGACTGCTCAGGTGTCTGCCTTAGGAAAGTCATTTGTAAGAGTTTACCACAGAAAACAGCTCCAGAGGCCCTCCTTGGGCAAACCTTCAAACTCTGGAGCATTCAGAGCCACACTGCTTTGGTGCTGCCTTTCTAGGTTTAACAGAATCTCAGAAAGATTTGGCCTCTCCTTGCCTGAACTCACTCTTGTAACTCCCCTTTCTGAGGGGGACAGTCATCAGCTTCCTTAAATAAAATAGTGATCAGACTCCTCAAATACACAAATGACTTTTTGCTAGAATCACCTTGCACCTGTAAAAGAGTAGTAAATCAGCAGAGAGGTAAAACCCTCTCCCCTGCCCAGAGTGCCTTACAGGCGTTCTTGGATAGAAAACACATTTGCTGGAGCTGATGCCTGAAACTCCATCCAAACTGTTGTGATACACAGGGTGAACAGGACAGCTCATGACTGCTGACTGGGACCAGAAAACAGTGGGGCAGCAATGAGTTAGGGGTGAATGACCCCCAACCTCCCTTTCTAACACCTGATTAAATTATCCTTTAATCAAATTGTTCTCTGCTGAACAGCAATTCCAGAGCAATGTGTGTGTTTATCAGCTATTGCAGGTCAAATATGTGCCATGAAGATACCGTTGCTGCCACTTAGGCATTGCTTCCCTAAAATGCAATATCAGTTAAATATTTATGAACCACCTTTCTTTGAACCTTGGTTTGCAACTGTAAAAGTGTTCTTGAAAAGAATGGATCCATTTATGGAATACAGTCAGTTGTGCCTTGGGATGTGAGATCAATAACATGCAAAATGTCACATTCTGTCTTAAGCTTTTGCTTCTAGTAGTAAATGAACTGAGACCATCTTTAGGCCACATATTTCCAAAGTAACAATTTGGTGACTCTTCATTGCTCTGAAGTATCACACTCCAGGGACAAGAGTTTCTCTTATAAAAGTCAGCATCCCACCCAGCAGCAGCTATGGAAATTGGTCTGGAGAGACAAAAAGACTGAAAAACCTTTACTGCCTAGTAGAAATCATTCTTCCTAAAAAGAATTGGAGATTTTAGCAGGAAAATAGGCAACATACAGGGAAGTCTCACACTACTCATGATATAGTTGTTCTTTTTTTCTTCTAAAAGCATCATATTCACTGAAAAAGTTATCTCCTTCCAAGGTGTCTGATAACATATTCTCCATTAAATTCTAAATTACACTAAAAAAACCAAAACAAAAACAAAACAAAAGACCTGCCAGAAACCCCACCTTAAAACCCATGTCTTGAACCAAAAAACCTCTATAATAAGGCAAAACAACCAAAGTCTTGGATGAAATAATGCAGCTTCAAAGGAAAACTTGTCAATTTTTTTCTTCCTTCCTCATTTCCAATAAAATATTTGCCCTTAGAATCAAAATTCAAATATGAAAAGAAATGCAGGTGATTCTTACAACAAGCAGATGTTACAAATGAAGTTCTGAAGAAATTTCTTTTAGTACAATATGACAGAAATTACTTAGCAAACTGATTGACTATGTAGCATGAGTGCAAGGAAGCACTGCCTAAATTTATGCACTGGCCTTTTTTCAAATACTTTTTTTTTCTTGTGGATGCATAGTTTGCTCTTTTGAATATCCCTTGTTTTATCAATTGTCTTCCCATAGGTTTAATTCTCTCTCAGGGCTGTAATGTCAGTAAGTTACCTAGATGCTGAAAGTGCAAGAAAACTTTGACATTTAGAAGCAAGCTAATTATTTTGCTTTAGTAAATGTTCTGAAAAGCTGCAGAAATTAGCATCTTTTAGTACAAAGAAGCCAGTGGTCTGGACAAGGAAAAGAAACATAATGCACTATTAAATACAAGGCAAATATTTTAATTAGCAAATTTTTATTTTTTGGGAGGTATTTTATCATACTAATTATTTTTTCATTGTCTCCTTTGTAATGGGATAATTAATTTTCAAAGATTGCTAAAATATGAAAAGAAATATTCCATTATTTTATTTTTATGGAAGAGTTTTGTGGTCTGTTCTGCTGATTCTATCATATACAATCTTTTTACTTTTCTTGGTCCACAAAGAGCACTGGAGTCATTTCCCCAGCCAATTGTTCAGTCTTGTGTTTCTTGCCACTGCTTTATCCAGCTCTGCTGCTCCACCTGACACCTTTCTCGTGCCTGTGCTGAAAGCAGCAGAATCTGGGACTTGTGAAGGGGAGCTTAATACAGAACTTACCTCTCTGATAAATCATGCCATGCACCACTATGTAAAGTGCTTTAGAAACATTTAAGTTTTACTACCTGTTTGATGAAAGCATCAAAGGACAGGTCAGAGGTGACTCCACTGTTCCAGCACAAGGCTGGACCCACAGGGCATCTGAACTTCTCTATTTCATGTTGCACTCAATGTCCCATGGCTTGAGCCACCGTGACAACTGCATCAGTGCAGCAGTGAGAGCCAAGCACTGCAGCAGGGAAGCCACGTTTTTCAGGAGTTTGTGGTGTTTTTTGGGGGGTTGTTTGCTAATTTTTTCACAGAGGCCCATCAGCACATGGCTAACCAGCTTCACACCAAAATCAGTAAGAAACTGAGACGTGACCACTGAGGCAGCTCCTGATGCATATGAAAGTTGGATCATTCCAGCCCAATTCAGAATGCTCCATCTGAATGGACTACTATCATAAAATCATGTTAGACCAAACTAAACTGATTTCATACACAGAGATTTTAAGATGACCTTTTCTTTGATTTTTAGTTTCAAGTAGAAGTGTTCAAAATGTTGAGAGATTGTTTCCAGAGAAGAAAAACTGACTCTCCCCAGAAATTGATTTGAATCAGTCAGATTCCAGAAGTTTGCATTTTATTTTTACAGGCTTGATGCTGCCATATGCATATAAAGTGATTGATTCAGTGGATTTCTGTGCTCCAAAATCTTACAAATTGCTGAATTAAGTCAATATTCATGTCAGATACGGTAAGAAAAAGTAAAATAAATATGTATACTGTAACCTATTGCTTCAAGGGATGCTGAAACAGAAAAGAATAAGTGGAGGAGACCAATACAAATGTCTCCTCACAGGAGCAATGCTTATCAAAACCTCAACGTAAAAGGGAAATATCCTTGAATATAACCTTGTGCATTTGTCAAAACTTTATTAATTATTACTCTAAAACAAAGCAATTGAATCATTAAGCATCTTTTGCCTAATTTCCCTTTGTGGGTCAGCAGTTGTCAGCCTCTGTATTTCAGCTTTCAAGTCAAGAATATATTCTGAATAGAGGAAGTGAAATCATTCCCAAATCAGAACTGGAAAGCAAATGCTCTGTTTCAGGAGAGACTCCATTCTATATTTTTAAAGAAAGTGTTAAAGCCCATCCATGAAGATCACTTACAAATCAGATAATTTATAAAATCACATTTGCAGGACCCAGATTTTTGATTCTTTAATCACGAGGGACTCTTTGTCACACAGATATGTGCAAAGTAAACTGACCAGCAACCCAACCTTGGGCCTGAAGGCATGAATCACACGAGTAACCTTAACTTCTTAACTGGGTAATTTGTATCAGTGAAGGAAAAAAGTAAAAATATTAAAAGCACATCCATGAACGCACAGACTTTGACCCACAGTTGTCAGGGTGCAACCAGCATTCACTCACACACTGCTGCTGAACGAAGGAATGCTGCTTCTCTTCATTTGCTGCCATCAGAACAAGTACCCAAAAGTTTGGCCAATGACAGTGCAAAGGAACTAAATGAACTAATTGAATGAACTAAAAGTTCAGCTGGGCATCCCCAGCCAGTGGGGACAGATGCCCAAGGCAGATGCAGTGAGTTACCCCTCAGCACATGGGCATCCTGAACAGCTGGACAGATGCTGAAATTTTGTGGAGAAAGTAAGCTGGGTATCACACAAGGTAAGGACTAGAGGCAACATGTACAACAGATGTAACTAGATCCCTTAAGCAAGGGCATGGTTGACCTTCAAGTTCACTTTCTCTGCTGCAATACAACCAGAACTCATCAGAGCTGATACACCCACTGCAAGCAAACCCCGCTAAGAAGTGTTCCAAATTCAAGGGGGATGTGCACGAGGTCTAATTAACTCTCAGTTAATTTAAGATTTGGCCCTTTGTGGTGAAACACTGTAGGCTGTAAGCATTTCAGGAAGCAATGGGACCAAGTGACAAGGTACTAAGCATTCTCTGACAGGCCTGGGAAAGGGCTGAAACAGAACTATTTTCAAATGAGAGTATTCCCTACTGACCTCCCTTTCCAAAGCTGAGACTTTAATCAAGATCACAGCAATTCACATGGAAAGAATTTAGATATTGCTTGTCTGACTTTTACCTTGGCAAACAAAAAGAAAACCAAAACCAAACTCTGAGCAACTGAGCTGACTTCTGCCATCTGCATCAATTCAAGGGCAAAGCTGCCTTTCTGGAGTTGTAATCATTGTGTAAAGGTAGGGCTAAGATTTGTTGTCTTCAAGGAGCATGTTAAATGGCACATTTTATCTGGGCTATAACAGCAATTGCTCTCACCCTGCAAGACAAAAGATGCTTCCCGAAAGAAAGGACCTGCTTTCCCCAAAAATGAGACCTTAGCTAACAAAGTGCATGAAGAGAGGAATATCATCAGTGATGTTCTCTTTCTGGTTTGCCTCTCTAAGTATTGGAATCCTTATTTCAGTGTTCTTACAGTCAACCTTACTCAATTCAAATGCTGAATTTTCAGCATTACAAAGCTGCAAATGCAGTGTTTACAGCATTGTATGAGGTAAAGAAAATGTCTAGTGTATGCACATATCC